TTCAGGATTCGCCAGAGTTACTGGAATTTAGGGGAAGGATAGATGACAGAAGAGGACAGGTGCTATAAGTGGCTAGCTGCCACCCAGCTCAGGTCCTGCGGTCTCTCCGGGCCTCTGGCCTGGCTTCACTGCAGCATTTGCTGAGTTTGAGCCTGAAGTTGAGCTAGAATTCCCATTAAAAATTCACCATTCTAAAGCATGCAATTGGTTTTTAGAATATTCACAAGGTTGTGCGACAATCAGCGCTATATAATTGCAGAATGTTCATCACTCAAAAAAGAAACCCCATACTTAGCGGTCACTCCCTGTTCCCTCTTCTGGCCTAGGCAACTGCAAATCTTTCTGTCTCTAGATTGGCCTATTCTGGACATTTCTGAATGGAATCCTATAAGGTGTTGTCTTGTGACTGGCTTCATAGCGTGAGGTTGAGGTTCATCTGCGCTCTAGCATGTACTTGATTGCTTTTGTCAAATACTCATTTTACAGATCCATCTTCCACTTTTTGAAAGTTCACATTGTGCCACTTCACTTTTACAAAAGCCCTTTAAAAAAAAAAAAAGCCCTTCAAAATAGCATTTGGGTTCCCCGACCCCTTCTATAGGCAGCACCCCCCTGAGCAGCAAGCGTGGCACCTGCCAGGCTCCCTCCTCCATAACTACATTCCACACCAAACCACCATCATACCTTTGCTGTGTGAGCATCTGTGCTTTTTCTCCATTTATTTTGTGAATCCATTTGAGAGTGTCCTAAGGTCTCAGAAAAGCCTAAGAAATGTCATTTTTTGGAGTCTGGGAAAGCTCAAAAATGTCCTCATATAAGTGAGTGGTGATTGCTTCCCTCTGTGCCACCAGGCTTAGGAAAGATTTCATGGGAAGGCTCTACTTCTGGACAGCAGGGGAAACCTGTACCAGATTTTTACTTAGCTGTAGGCATTTGGGTTGTTTCAACTTTAGGGGTATTACGAATCCTCTATTACACATTGTTGTGTGGACCTATGATTTCAGTTCTTTTAGGCCCATACCTTGGAGTAGGATTGCCGGGTCTTGAATCTCAACTTTCTGAGGAGCTGCCAGGCCATTTTTGCACAGCAGCTGCACCATTTCCCGCTCCCACCAGCCATGCATGAGGGTTCCGATTTCTCCACATCCTCATCAGCACATATTTTCCCATTTCTTTTTTTATTGTAGACATCCGGGTGGGTATGAAGTGATATTTCAGTATGGTATTGATTTGTGTTTTCCACACCCTAAGATGTTAAGCATCTTTCCATGATTATTGAACATTTGTATATCTTTTTTTATATGTATCCTTTTTTTTTTTTTTTTTTAGTGTTCACTTCCTTTGCCCATTTTTTTAAGTAAACTCTGTACCCAACATGGGGCTTGAATTCCCAACCCCAAGATCAAGAGGCACACGCTCTACTGAACCAGTCGGATGTCCCTTTTGCTCATTTTTAATTGGGCTATGTATCTTTTTATTGTTGAGGTGTAGGAGTTCTTTATATATTCTGGATACTAGATTCTTAACAGATTTATGATTTGCAGATGCTTTCTCACATTTTTGAGGGTTTTCACCTAATGGTGACATTTGATACACAATAGTTTTTTTTTAATAAATTAATTTTTATTGGTGTTCAATTTACCAACATACAGAATAACACCCAGTGCTCATCCCGTCAAGTGTCCCCCTCAGTGCCCGTCACCCATTCACCCCCACCCCCCGCCCTCCTCCCCTTCCACCACCCCTAGTTCATTTCCCAGAGTTAGAACTCTTTATGTTCTGTCTCCCAAATGAATGAGAACATACACTGTTTGTCCTTCTCCGATTGACTTACTTCACTCAGCATAATACCCTCCAGTTCCATCCACGTTGAAGCAAATGGTGGATATTTGTCGTTTCTAATGGCTGAGGAATATTCCATTGTATACATAAAACACATCTTCTTTATCCATTCATCTTTCCATGGGCACCGAGGCTCCTTCCACAGTTTGGCTATTGTGGACATGGCTGCTAGAAACATCGGGGTGCAGGTGTCCCGGCGTTTCATTGCATCTGAATCTTTGGGGTAAATCCCTAACAGTGCAATTGCTGGGTCGTAGGGCAGGTCTATTTTTAATTCTTTGAGGAATCTCCACACATTTTTCCAGAGTGGCTGCACCAGTTCACATTCCCACCAACAGTGTAAGAGGGTTCCCTTTTCTTCGCATCCTCTCCAACATTTGTTGTTTCCTGCCTTGTTAATTTTCCCCATTAGTTTTTAGTTTTGGTGAAGTCCAATTTCCGTAATTTTTACTGCTTATGCCTGGTGTCCTATCTGCATCTGTTGTCCAGTCCAGGGCCATAAAGGTTTATACTTGTGTCTCCTAAGAGTTTTAGGAATATTCGCTCTTAAATTGAGGTGTTTAAAACATTTTGAGTTAATTTTTGTATACAGTGTGAAGTAAGCCTTCAAGCATTCCCTCCTTTTTTTTTTTTCATTTTTATTTATTTATGATAGTCGCACAGAGAGAGAGGCAGAGACATAGGCAGAGGGAGAAGAGGCTCCATGCACCGGGAGCCCGATGTGGGATTCGATCCCGGGTCTCCAGGATTGTGCCCTGGGCCAAAGGCAGGCGTTAAACCGCTGTGCCACCCAGGGATCCCGCATTCCCTCCTTTCAAAAACTGTCCTAGACCTCTCTGGGGCCCCCCAGTTCCTAAAGTACAATTTGTCTGGTCGTCCACTTCTCAAAGCCCTTCTCTGTGGTTTCTCCCTGGGGACATCATCCAGTGACTCACATTTTCACTCCCTGCCCACATCTCTCGGGTTCAGTATTTCCACCAACCTCCTGTGCAGTCCCACCCAGACAGACGACAGCCACCTCAAATCACCATGACCAGAGTGGAACTCCTCTTTGCAAACTTAAATCCCCTACTTTTCTTACACCTGCTAAAACACCACTACCCGTTGCATTCCTCAAGCAAGAAACCTGGAAGATACGCAGATACCTCTGTCCTTCCCCGTATCCCACATGGCCAGTGAAAGCCTTAAATCATGGTGACTTGAATTCAGAAATTTGTATTTTTGTCATGGAAAATTTCAAATAGGGGCACCTGAGTGGCTCAGTCTGTAAGCATCTGACTCTTGGTTTCAGGTCAGGATCCCAGGGTTATGAGATCAAGCCCTGTGTCAAGCTCTGTGCGGAGTTGGCTTATCACCTCCCTCTAACCCCCCCCCCCCACGTATCCATTCTCTAAAATAAATCTTTTAAAAGAAAAAAGTATGTACAAAGGTAGAATAAGACAGCAAAACCCCATGTACCTATCACCTAGTTTCAGCAATTGTAAACTAAGCTAATTTTGCTTATTTATACCACTGGCTCCTTTACCATAACCTGACACACCGTTTCATCCATAAATACTTAACTGTTTTAGAGGATAGAGGCTTCTTAGAAAACATAATACCGTTAGCATACCAAAATAACATTAGTTCCTTAATATGAAATACTCCAAATTCTCAAATTTCTAATTCCCCAAGTGTCTTTTTTTCTTCAGTAATTTGAGAATCCAAACAGGATCTGTGTACTAAAAATGATGGCATATTTCTTATCTCTTGGTTCCTATGGATTCCCTCCATCTCTGTTTGCCAGTCTGGTTTTGCTCTTCTTTCTCTATGGTGTTGTTTCACAGGTTTCTTTGTCCTTTGTATTTACTACTAAATAGGAGTAGACTTAGAAGTGTGATTGGATTCAGATTTAGTGGTAAAAGCACATGGTGTTATTTGCTTTCATCAGGAGACACACCACGTCTGGTTGTCTACATATTATGGCCATTGAAGTTCAGTGCCTACATTCATTCATCAAGAGTTGCAAAATGAGGATAAGTCTACTACCCATTCTTCACATAATGCCTGAAATACCACCAAGAAGAGAAACTGACTCACCTGCTATTTGGTTAGCTGGCGTTGCAGTTCGTATCAGAAAAAGAATAGATGCTCAAGTCTTTGGTCCATTTTTTTCTTCTTTTTATTTAAAGATTTTATTTATTCATGAAAGACACACAGAAAGAGACATAGGCAGAAGGAGAAGCAGCCTCCCTTGCAGAAAGCCCAATGTGGGACTCGATCCTGGATCGATCACGCCCTGAGCCAAAGGCAGGCACTCAACTGCTGAGCCACCCAGGTGTCCCGGACCAGTTTTCAAAATAATGAGTTGGACTTAACTAGTATTCTCCAAACAAAAGTGACCAGTGGGTTGCTTTTTAGTGTTGTTACTATCATGATCACTGAACTAAACATTTTATGCGTTTCAGTTCATTGCTGTTATTAAACTTACTGATGCTCAAATTGTTCTTTTTGTCCAGTGGGGGGGCCTCTTCGAGTGGCTGCTGAGTCCTTTTGATAACAACCCTTTTGATAGTAAGTAACATTTGGTAACTTCCTTTGCTATCTAGTAGGATAGGATATTCCAGACTTGTACATTTCCTGCTCCAGTCCTGGGTCACTTATTTCTAGGAAAAAACCCAAATTCTGGTTCCTTTTAGTGGTGAATGGCATTGCAAGACCAAAATCTAAGTTCTAGAGTGTCCACTGTTGTGCTGGTCATCGTTTGTGGCCTTTGTTATACAAAGCTAGGACACATTTCCTTTTTAAGATAAAACATACTCATACTTTCTGTTCACATTCCAGACTTGAGATTTTTCTTAACTCTTGTATCTTCCATGTGTATATTTTTTCCCCGACATCGAGAATGCCAGTTCTCATCTGCACTCTGAATTATGAACTTAGCTGAACACCATTACGCCGTTGTTTTATCCCATATCCCACAACAGTATCAGAATAACAAGAGGGAGTTTAAAGTTTTGTTTGTACTTTGTTTTGGGGATATTTCCTCCTTGGCAGATAAGAGTCAGCTCACTGTGTTTTAAATTTACTATAGTTTCTCTGTGTGGCTTGCTACTGACTGGATGCGCATTTACATTAATCTGTTTTATTTATTTTTCCATTTTTTAAGAATTTCTTGGGCTCACTTCGGCAGCGTGTATTCTAAAATTGAAACGATGCAGCAAAGATTAGCATGCCCCTGCACAAGGAGAACACGCAAATTTGTGAAGCGCTCCATATTTTGTGCAGTTCCCCAGCGTCCTGCAACCCTTCGTGGGTTAACTCAGAGGAAATGATGAGTCAAAGCACAATATATGGTATTGAATAATGAAGTTATGGTATTTTACTATAAAAATACTCCTGTAAAGCAGTCTGTGACATGTTAACAAAGCTGAGTTACACCTGGAAATTTATATGCAAATATGTCCTTTCTACATAGCTCAGAAATGAGAAAATGTCAACTTGCATTTCCTTATAGAATTAAAGAATAATAATTTCTCTTAGTTTAATACATAAAATATTGATGTAGTTCCAAGTCTAATCTACAAAACGAGATCTATTCAAAATCTAATTTCTGTTTCTACATCCTCCACCTTATTCCCTCCCTTTCCATTCAGTGACCTGTTTAATCATTCTAATCTTTTTTTTTTTTTAATTTAAACAGATGACTATGTTATAGTTCCCCTTTCTTATGTAAAGAAAGCGTACTGGGGCGCCTGGGTGGCACAGTGGGTTAGGCAACCAACTCTTGGTTTCCACCGCTCAGGTTGTGAACTCAGGGTCATGAGATTGAGACCCACGTCGACTTTTGAGTGGAGTCTGCTTAAGACTCTCCTCTCCCTCTGCTCTTCCCTCTTCCCCCTCCCCCACTCCCTGTTGCACTCTCTCACTTGCTCTCAAATATTTTTTTTAAAAAGAGAGAGAGAGAGGGACGCCTGGGTGGCTCACCGGTTGAGCATCTGCCTTCAGCTCAGGGCATGATCTTGGAGTCCTGGGGTCAAGTCCCACATCGGATTCCCCACAGGGATCCTGCAAAGATCTCCCTCTGCCTATGTCTCTGCCTCTTTCTCTCTGTGTTTCTCATGAATAAATAAAATCTTTTTTAAAAAAAGAGAGCCTACTATACACTTCTCCACCTTGCTTATTCACTTAACAGTATATCCTGGGGGCGCCTGAGTGGCTCAGTCAATTAAGTGACTGACTCTTGATTTCCACTCAGGTTATGGTCTGGGGTATGAGATCAAGCCCCAAGACAGGCTCTGCACTCAGTGGGAAGTCTGCTTGATGTTCTCTCCCCCTGTCCCTCTGGCCCTCTCCCAGCTTGCACTTGCACACACACTCTCAAATAAAATTAAAAAAAAAAAAACAGTATATTCTAGAGATCCGTTGTAGATGTTCCTCAGTTCTTTTACAGTAGCACAAAGTGATAAATATGTTTGGCCTTGATCCATCATACTGTTTTATGTTATATATATCTCAAGTCTTTTATTTTTTTTTAAAATTTTTATTTATTTATGATAGTCACACAGAGAGAGAGGCAGAGACACAGGCAGAGGGAGAAGCAGGCTCCATGCACTGGGAGCCCGACGTGGGACTCGATCCGGGTCTCCAGGATCACGCCCTGGGCCAAAGGCAGGCGCCAAACCGCTGTGCCACCCAGGGATCCCAAGTCTTTTATATATAGTCCTTCTATTGTCTATTTTTTTCTCTTTTCATTTTTCTTTTAATTTTTTTTTATTCATTTGAGAGAGAGCAAGAGCACAAGTAGGGGAGAGGGGCAGAGAGAGGGAGAAGCAGACTCGCCACTGAGCAGGGAGCCTGATGCAGGCAGGGCTTTATCCTAGGACCCTGGAATCATGACCTGAGCCCATAGCAGACACTTAACTGACTGAGCCACCCAGACATCCCTTCTCATTTTTTTTTTTGTAGCTGTTTGTCTTTAGTATTTTGAAACATACGGTTTTGTCCAGTGGTTAACTTTTTATTACTGCCTTTTAGAATAACCTTCCCCTCTTCAAGCCTCACTGAGATTTCCAACCCATGGCCTCTACCTCTTTGCACTTTGCTCCAGCAGTCACCTCTTCTCCCTGTCTTCACTTCCCTTCTCACTCAGCTCAGCTGTCGTTGCCCAGCTCCAAACCACCCTCCACCCAGTCCCCTCCCCCTCCCATGCACAGCCCATCTCCAGCCCCTGCACCTTGCGGCTGAACATTGCAATGTCCACTGGCCACGCTAACCAACCCACTTCACGGTTCGGCTCGCACTTCTGGCCCCCCAACCCTGCCCAGCTCTCCTGTCACATTGCTCTGACACGCTTACCTTTTCTCATAATTCCCACCTTTGTCTCCTCTGCCATCTCCAGCACCTTCCTCGGTGACTTGAATGACTCAAACCCAAACCCACTTCAGTGACTCAAACTTCAGTCCTAGAAGATGGGAGACAGACAGGGTGAATTCACTCCCCTTTCCTCTACCGCCTGCCTGCAGTGTAGTGTGCCCTCGTCCCCTACTCTCTTAGTCTGAGCCTGCAGTTTGGGATCTGGATCCCTCCGTCTGCGCTATGAGACTGAACTCGGGCAGCTGTCCCCTTTCTCTCACTTCTCCATCTCGTCCCTGTGGATCTTTCCCATCTGCAAACACTTTCAAAGCATCCTCCCTTGGTCCTCTTGAGCCGCTGCTCCATTTCTCTGCTCCCCATTACAGCAAAGCTCACCAAAGAGGTGTGTTCTTCGTGACTACTGCCAACCCCCCATGCTGTCCTCCGCCCACCCGGAGAAGGAGGCTTTTGCTCCCACCTGGTAAACAGGCCACCAGCCCTGTGTCCTGCCTCATCTCTCCCTTCTCTTTTCAACCAACCTCTTTTCTTAGGTGTCCACAACTGGCACTCCAACTTTAAATACCATGTATGTGACAGTGTATGTGACTCAAATTCTGATCTCCAGAAAGAACCTCTCCCCTCAGATCCAGAGTTAGACCACTTCATAGACTTCACCAATTTAACATGGGCAAAAGATTAATTTTCTTGACAAAGTAACTTCCCCTCAAGCTCTCCCCATACAAGTAAACAGCACCATCATCCATCAAAACCTTAATATCCCCTTCTCCCCCACACTCCATTATCAATCCATCAATAAATCCTCGTGGCTCAGTATCTAAAATCTGCTTTGGACTCAACTAGTTGCCACTGTCTGCGCAGTTCTACCTCTAGTAGACACAACTCCTGTGGGTTCTCCCAGATTTCTCAACTGCCTCTTCGGTGCTCCCACTTGGACCCCACCCTGTACCAACCACCAAAGAAAAACCACTCCTAGGGGCGTGAGCTCTGGCTTCCTCAGAGGCAGCCAAGAGGCTGGTTGATTCCCTCCAGAGCTGTGGACACATGAGCTCCCCAGAAGCAAATGTTGAAAGGTAGGAAATGATAGATGGAAAGGGAGGGAACTGGGTTAACTGCCACTGCCTTTTCTCCAAAATTCCTCCTTTCGGCTCTTCCAGAAAAGTCTCTGGGTTAATTAACATACTGGCTGAGTGACCAACTGTGCCTCTTTGCAGCTTGTTGGGAAGCAGTACAGGACATAATGCACCTCCTCTCACTGCTTTGCCTCCTCTCTCCCCTCCCCCACCCCCCACCCACCCTGGGCTTGCACCTTCCAAATAAAGTACCAGCACTTGAATCCATTCCTCAGCCTGTTTTTTTGTTTTGTTTTGTTTTGTTTTGTTTTGTAAGATTTTCTTTGTTAGAGCACAAGCAGGGGGAAGGGGCAGAGGGAGAAACAGACTCCTGGCTGACCATGGACCACCCCCACACCCCACCCCACCCACTGCCCTAGCCCTGCTGCATGGCTCAGTCCCAGGACCCCAGGATCCTGTTCTGAGCTGAAGGCAGATGCTTAACTGCTTAACTGACTGAGCCACCACAGGCGCCCCAGCCTCTTCTTCAGGACTAAAGTTAGCACTAGGGGAAGACACATTCCCAGGGTAAGCTACCATGAATTCTGGGGCCTCAGCATCCCTGCAAATTTGTTAGCATGCAGTTCTTGAGTCCTGCCCCATGTTCACGGAATCAGAATTTCGGGAGAAGGGACCTGGAACTAACTCTGGGATTTTAAAAAGCTGTTTGGGTGAATCTTGTGCCTGCTACAGTTGGAGAAAGATTGTTTAAGGCAAGAAAAGAGTTTGTGAGGATATGAAGCTTGGGGTTGCAGCAACTACTTTGGGATCATAAGGTCCAGAGACTGAGGATGGCAGAGCAGAAAGAGTGAGCCTGAATAGCTGCCCAGCCAACTTCAGAGCTACCAAATCCAGAAACTTCTGTGAGAGAACTAAGCGCCTTGATTGGTTTTGTCAGCTAATCTGTTACTTGTAGCTAAAAACAGCCCCAGATGATTCAAGACAGTGTTTGGTTTTATCCTCACATTAACCTGAGAAATGGGAATTAATTTCTCCATTTTGCAGCTGAAGAAACAAGAGTCCTGGAGACCTAAGCGTAGGCTAACCACAAGTCCAGTTCAGGCACATCTGACTCCAGAGCCCATCCTGTGAGCCATTTATCTGTTCTGCAAATGCTCAGGTGGCATTTGTTGTGTGAATTAATGACTTGGGTGTGAAACTGAACCATCAGAGCCCAGAGTGGGCTCTGGACTGAGAAGTCGAAGCATACTTGACTGGTCACAGCAGAAACAGTGCCTTCATTTTCCCACAAAAACGCATGGGGTAGAGGGTGTTTTTCTCAGTTATTCAAGAGCTTTCTCATTCTTCAGGGCTGTAGGTAGAACTGAACAGGAGGGTACTCTGAGAAGCTGGGTCAGACACGAAAGATGGATGACTTCCAAAACCAGAAAGAACCCCAAGGACCACCTGCCACTTCTGTGATGCAGACAGGCCATCCCAACAAGTCTGCATTGCTAGTGAGCCCTCACTGTAAGCCTGGTATCCTCTGCATAATTTGTTTGCCTTCCCACATTTAATTCTCACAGCAAGCCAGTCACCTCACGGTTCCCATTTACAGATGGGAGAATTGAAGCACCAGGAGTGTTAAGTAACCTGCCCCAAATCACATAGTTGTCAAGTAACTAAACCTGATTGGAGCTTGGATGGGCTGAGCCCAAAGGAAGGCTGCACTGGGCACCTCTGTGCGGGGGCACCTGTGTCAGCTGAGCATCCAACTTTCTTGATTTCAGCTCAGATCAGGTGGTCTCAGGGTGGTGAGATCCAGCCCCAGTCAGGCTCCACAGGGCCTCTGCTTGAG